GATAAGGTTTGAACCATTTGCAGATTGCTCTCATCCATTTGCTGCCTCAAACAAGCTATCGAAGTATTGGTCAGATTAGGGCCCTGGGTGGAATACCCCACACCTATACTTTGATTGTTTTGACCAACATTTATCCCAGACCCCGATCCTTGTAATGACTAAGCCATCACATTCTCTGAGAATATCACAGGATCATTTTGGAGACTTTGCATTACTGTCGTTGGCATTCCATATGGTGGGTTTCTTGGTAATGGTTGTGAAAACCCTGGAGGGAAAAAATCTCTAGACGTCGAAGTCCCTCCTGGCGGAGTTTGGGGATTCGACACTTGAGGCCTGACATACTCTAACACGGGTTGGGTGTAGGCCCTTATACTTGTCGACCTTGATCCCAACACTAATGGCACTGGTTCAAGCCTAACAAGAGGCAGTATTCGCTCTCCTGTCGAAGGTACTGAGGGTGGAACTACATCATTCATAGACACATCACGAGGATTGGTGTTACTAGGCTGAAGATTAGAGCCATTCCCTCGAAGGTTTGGGTTATTTGGCTGATTAACATTTGTCGCCATTTCTCTAGTGTAATTTTTTCTTAGTCTTTCTTCGTTTGTAGAGGCTATCTTACCACTTCTTAATAACATGCAACGAAGTTTTATCAAAGACAATTATAACAACTGTAGTTCCGCAAATTTTTTACAAAAATTTCGAAGAATTTTTAGCACTGTCCCACTGGGCATGCCAATTTGTTTCCCTTGAAAATTGGAAAACAACCGCTGATCTTCTAAATCTAACTTTGGTGACTCAATAGATCGATCAGATTGATCCTAGGACATGTGCTAAATTTTAATTGAAAGAAACTACCTAAAACTGAACACTTCAATAATGTTTATGAGAAAAAGGTTAATGTAAATGTGAGGTTCGACTGAAACGAAAGGACATGAAATTATAGGAAACAAAGTAAAAAAGCCTTCAAAAACATTTAAACAAAGTAAAGCATAATGCCAGAAAGATGTAAATTGCAAGGAAGTAAGGATAAACTAATAAGTTTTATTAAAACGTAGAAATGGTGTTTTTACATGACATACATTCTCCTAGAACTATTTTCTTTACTTTCTTTACACTCGGATACTTTGAGTAACTTTTGGAGTAACTTGTACAATAGTAAATTACAACACACTGAATTTCATTGCTAGAACCCCTATTTATAATAATACAATTAAATGTCATTAACCTCTTAAAATGATCAGTCCGTGACAAGTGTCATGCCGCATATAGTTGTTCGCTAGATGTGCGTCACTTGTCTTGTTTAGCAATGAGAAAGCATAACTACTCTCTCCTTTATTTGAATTTCAAATTCCACTAATATTTGGCCAGCAGTCTCGGTCGAAGGTGGTCTCTTTAATGTTAGAAATATTTTCTAAGTCACAAATACTTTAACATTTCAACCACTAGAAGGTTTTTCCCAATCGAAGGTTTCTTTTATATTCCCTTGATAATTTAATATTTCCCTCAACTCTTTTCATTTAATGTGGGCGTCGTATTTATGAGCTAACATGTACACACATAGAAAATTGAAGAGAAAATTATAGATATGATAGTATACATGGGGTGGACAAATAGGAAATTACGTCTTTACTTAGTGAGGTTAATGCTTTAATTTTTGTTTTGAGTGATTTGTTTATTTTAAAATTTTGAGCTGAATCCAAGTGATTGCTTTTGTTTTTTATTGCTTTTTGAATTAATCAAAATTTTCCATTAATTAAAAAAAATAGTGTGTCTTATCATTCTTAATGTCTCTTAATTCAACTAAAAACATTTTATTTTAACAATTGATTAATTTTTTTTAAAGAATTGATTAAGTTTATTAAAGTGCTTTGATCGAACCGAACCAAATACAAATTTAAAACTTTTCAATGCCAGTTTATTTCTAAGTTTTTTTTTTGGGTACAATTATTTTCAAGATTTATTTAGTGCACATAATATTTATTCTATGTTGTGTCTGATGTATATATGTATGAGAAAAATATATGATAACATTATTTTATCGAATCATACTTTTGATAAACATCTTATAATAATAAAATTATCCTTCTCTAACATTTTAATATTATCTTTACAATTAATATAAAATTTTTAATTTATAAATAAATATAAAATACTAAGAAATAAACAAATGATTGTATGTAATATATAAAAAATTCTACTAACACTACTAAATAAAAAGGTTCAATAAAAAAAAACTAGTATATATGTTAAACAAATATAATCTATATTGTATATAAACAAGTAATAAAATTATATTTAATTTTAATAAAAAAATTAATTGTACATCTCGAGAAATTCTCATAGTCGGTTTGCCTAACCATTCCAAATAATGAATTAGGACGAATTATGGTTGTAAATGAAGCACAATCTATTGTCGGGTTTGAGCATAACAATGACCGCCCTTGGCGAGATAATAGAGGATAAGGATTTATGGACATTTAATTTATCGTATGACGTTACTGTGTCAAACATGTTCTACCCAACACTATAATGATGAAATAAATGGTAATTAAGGCTCTTTATGTTGATTAAGTGCATGTATAGTCTCTGTTTCATATCAGACAGAGGGGAATTAATATAAAAGAAATGCATACCAACCAAATGGCAAACTCAACTCTCAAATAAAAAGTTACCAACTATTGATTTTGCGTGAACATTTGGTGTCCATAATGTTGGTAAAACTTGTTTGACAACACAAAAGCATTTCAAACCATCGACCTCGTCCTTCCCCCATGATGAGAGAAAGCATCTTTCAAGACCAACCAGAGACCATATGAATATTTCACCATGTTGAACACAAAACAAGAAAGAATTTTGCAAGATGTATTCTATACAATGGTCCTTCTTGAGCTGAACTTGCCCAAGGGCAATCGAATGAGGATGGATACTAACAAATGGTGCAAATACCACAGAGTGTGGGTCACCAAACTAATGTCTATCACCATTTGAAGTAGGAGATCGAGAAATTGATACAAAGTGGTCGTCTTTAGAAATGTGTTTAAAAGGTCAACCAATGCACATATAGAAGAAGATTTCAACACAACAAAAAATCTCAGGGAATGACCTCTCAGTCCAAGAGGGCCTGAAGTGTGCAGGAAGAGCGGAGACATGGCATAACATGCCACACTGAGTAAAATAGTTAACGAATTTGTAGGAGACGATGAATTCAATTCATCTAGAAAGAAGTATGTCTGACAGGTGATGCATGCTGCCAATGTTGAGTCTTGATAAAAAGAAATCATGAAACATGAAGTCGTTAGTTGAAACGTAGAAGACTAAGAGTCTGAATACAGACATGAAGATAATATAAGTTGAGTTTATGAAATAACATGATAGATCTTTGCCCGAATTGTCCCCTCATTTAAATATTTCGTGCCATTTGGGCCTCATGCTTGAGGACTATGTACATCTCCTATATCGCAATAGTCGGACTACCAGAATAACCCTTCCCTTAAGCCTTTCACCCCATTCGAGCTCATGCTTTGCGGGTTGTGTACATCTCGAAAAATTGCAATGGTCGAAATTCCTGAATACCCATCCCTAAAGCATCTTGACCCATTCATACCTCATGCTTGAGGGGCTCTGCACATCCTTGGAATTTGCGATGGTCAGATTACTCGAAAGACCTCTCCCTTAAGCATCTCGTTTCATTAGAGTCTCATGCTAAGAGGACCGTGTGCATCTCGGAAAATTGTAATGGTCGGATTATCCGGATGATTCCTCCTTTAAGCCTTTCACCCCATACGGGCCTCTTGCTTGGGGGATTGTGTACATTCTAAAAAATTGCAATGATTATACTACCCGAATGACCCTTTCCTAAAGCATCTCGCTCCATTTGGACCTCATGTTTGAGAGGTAGTGTACATCCCAGAAAATTGCAATGATCGGATTATCCGGATGACGCATCTCTTAAGCATCTCACTTCATTTGGGCCTCATGCTTGGGGTCATGTACATCATGTAAAGTTGCAATGGTCGAATTATCTAGATGATCACTCTCTTAAGCACCTCGCTCCATTTGGCCTCATGCTTTGGGATTGTGTACATCTCGAGAAATTCTCGTGGTCGACTTGCCCCAACAATTTTGAGAAATTGAGTTAAGACGAGTTATGGATGTAAATGTAATACTTCACATTCTCGGATTTGACCTCGACTATACCTACCCTTAACGGTATATCATAGAAACAACATTTATGGACATTTATCATATGATGTTAGCGCATCAAAATGTGTCTCCTCAATACCATAATAATTGAATAAACAACTATTAAAACTCTTTATGATTATTAACTGCATTTATAACTCATGTCTCATATCAGATTGAGGGGAATCAATATAAAAAGAAACTTACCCACCATGACTCTAGATGAGGGGAATCAATATAAAAAGGAACTTACCTACCGTGACTCTTGGCGTCTCACGTCAATAGAGTTACTAACTATTATTCTTCTTGTGTGAACATTAATATTAATATTTTTGTATTTTTAATAATATTATGTTAGTTTTTTTTTATATAAATTAACTTATAATTTTTTTTCTAATGTAGTTTATATATATTTTTTATTTATTTATTTTATTAAAACTCAATATATATATATATATATATATATATATATATATATATATATATATATATATTTTAAATTGTATTTAATAGGGACAAAACAATAATTCATCTTTTATTGTATTATATCATATTTAAAATAATAATTTCAATAATAGAAAATATTATAATAGATTTTATTTTTAGTTTGTAATATGATCAATTTTTAGATTGACTTATATTATTTCATTAAACAATAATAATAATGGCATAAAATGAAGATTTTGGACATAGTATAGAAAGTTAAATAAATGAATTAAAAATAGTTATGCAATGTAATCGCTGATATACTTTGGCAGTTGTAGTGGATAAAACACAGATAACAGTTTTACTAGCGACTGAACTTAGTGGCGGATATGGAAGCAGTACTGGCATCCCGCCATTTATCCACACCGTTCTCTCACAATCGAACCACCACCACCTCCTCCTCTTCTATCAAACCTTCCTCTTCCCTTTATTTCCGTAATTCCTTCGCGGTAAGCATGCTACTACCTCACCTACTATTCTTGTAATTCGCTACTTCCTAATTCAGTTATGTGTATTTCAGAAAGAGATATGGGGTTTGGTTCAGTCCAAGAACGTAACTTCCAGAAGAACGGACATGATTCGTCCAGTTGTGGTCAGGGCTGAAATGTTCGGACAGTTAACCTCTGGTCTTGAATCTGCCTGGAACAAGCTCAAAGGAGAAGGTCTTTCGTCAATTAATCGCTAATAATTTAAGAAATTATAAGTAATTACATGCGTTGGACTCTGGAAACGCGTTCAATTTGATTGCTTACATACTGAACTCTGTGGATTTTGGTTTGATTTTGCAGAGGTTTTGACTAAAGAGAATATTGCGGAGCCTATGCGAGATATTAGGAGAGCTCTTTTAGAAGCCGATGTAAGATTATGCCATTTTAACTTATTTGGTTTTGTTTTTGTTGAAATTTTCATGCTTTTGCTAATGTGCATGGATGTTGTGTTGGCAGGTTAGTCTTCCTGTTGTAAGAAGGTTTGTGCAATCTGTTACTGATCAAGCTGTGGGTGTTGAAGTCACTCGAGGAGTCAAACCCGATCAACAATTGGTTAAGGTTGAATTCAGTCGTTTCTCATTGCATCATGTAGCTTGCTGTATTATTTAGCATTTCTGTTATGTTTGTTTAAATCACCATTTGAAAATTCTAGGGTGATGCAAGTGCAACTTCACATTGTTCACGAACTGGTGTCTGATTTGTGGAATGTATTTTGGTTTCACTCAGAACAATGTTTTTAGACTCAAATATGTATATATGTTTTTGGTTTCAAGAGTTCAATTGGACGGCCTTAAAATTGCGTTTAAATTGAACTGATTCTATTCTTGCTTTTAAAGTCAAAACAATTGGGAATTCTTTAACCGCATTTGAAATGTGTGGTGGGCAATACACCATCGCAAGTCCACTGTAAAAAGTTGACAAGACACTACTAATGAGTGTAAATTACTGGTTTTTCTTTACAACATTTAATAGTAATTCACTTGCAGTGCAGGTGAGAGAACTTGTTTCGATGAAATAACATCAACATGTTTTTTTTCTTTAAATTCTGAAGTTCCGTATGTGAACAAAGTGGGCGTTGATTGTTGGGTTTTGCAGATTGTTCATGATGAACTTGTGGATTTGATGGGTGGAGAGGTCTCTGAACTAACTTTTGCCAAATCTGGGCCCACTGTCATTTTATTGGCTGGACTCCAGGGAGTTGGGAAGACAACTGTGTGTGCAAAGTTGGCAACTTATCTCAAGAAACAGGTGTATTTCTAATCTCTTTCCACATGCTTTATCACATTCTGATAGTTTTTATTTCTTCACCTTATTGAAAGGAATCATATTAACCTGATCTCAGGGGAAGAGTTGCATGCTTGTTGCTGGGGATGTTTACAGACCTGCTGCTATTGACCAGCTGACTATTTTGGGCAAGCAGGTAGCTGAAGCTGTTTTCAAGTTGCAATTTCTTTAAAGATGCATGCATACACCTCATTTAAATATCGTCAGCGGTTACTGGATTTCTAGAATAGAAGTGATGTGTTTCATGGTAAGCAAATGTGTATTGTAGTAGAATAGAAGTGATGTGTTACCTGGGCTACAAGAATTATACTAGTCTCGATAGGTGGTTGTTAGGATTTAAACCCATGGGAAGAGCCCAATTCTAGAGACTAGTCTAATGGGTGGGAGAGCATCATGGCTTAAGTACCAAATTAAGTACTTTTATCCGCTCAATGTGAGAGTACTGGTACTAACATTTCCATCCCTTTTCACGGAGGATTTCACCTCATCGGCACTGACTCAGTTGTAGCTCTTTCCTCTTTAGCAACTTCACTCACCTATCTGTATTTGGTAGAGTATCTTAATCCAGCCTATAATTAGCCCTTTCTGTGGTCAAACTCTCAAAGAGAGCACCAATTGTGAGGAGTGTCCAATCCAAAAGACTAGTCCCATAAGGTGGGAGAGTCCCGTGGCTAAAGTACCTCATCGAACACTTTATCTACTGAATGTGGGACTCCTAACAGGGGTGCTTTAGCATCTTGCAGCCTACTTAATGATCGTCTGGCTCTAAAATTAATAAGGAAACAAGAGAAATGTAGCAAGCATTCTTAGACCCTGTTTACTTTGTCAAAACATTTTCTATTTTTTATTTCTTAAAACCTGTGTTAGTTTTACTTGTCAAAAGATTGTTTTCATTATTTTCAAAAATGCATCATTTCTAACTAGCATTTCATCTTTTCTCCATCACAATTGTTCATTTTAAGAGTTTCACATCTCATTAGCAATTTAAAATGAACATCTTTTAGAAAATGAAAACAGAAAATGTTTTCACAAAGTAAACGGAGCCTTATGTTTTAACAAATTAATCAGGAATCTAATATCAAGATTCAAGATCCAATTATCATTATTGGACTTACCTCACTCTGTATTCTCTCTATTTGCTTCTAGTTACATATTTATAATTAGTTATAGCTTGTATCAGGTGGATGTGCCTGTTTATACAGCAGGTACCGATGTTAAGCCTTCAGTGATTGCTAAACAAGGTTTCGTAGAGGCCAAAAAGAAGAAAATTGATGTGGTTATTGTTGACACTGCTGGTAGGCTGCAGGTAATTATTTATATGATTGGAAACTTTATAATGAATAATTATTTATGATATTTTTAATGTTTGAATAAATTCACATGCTCATTAACGTTGTTATTTATTATGAAACAGATAGACAAAGCAATGATGGACGAGTTAAAAGAAGTGAAACGGGCACTGAATCCAACGGAAGTCTTGTTAGTTGTGGATGCTATGACAGGGCAAGAAGCAGCAGGTATTCAGAAGTGAAGTTATAAGTGTTTATTCTTTTACCTTTACATGAAGAAGAAAATAGTTTCTATAAAAATAAATTGTTCATATTTATAAACTGATACTAAATTAATGGTTGGCATATTATTAAACATAATTTTTACTACCAAATTGGTGTGGTCGAAGGGGAAGCGGCTCAAGTTCCTTAAGCATATGGTCAAAGGTTTGATCCTTGACTTATGCGTATGGAATTTCATCATTTGAGACATAGCCATTAAATGCGTCATAGATCATCAAAAGAGTTAGTCTCTGCATTTGTCCATAGATGGCACCTTGAGAAACCATAAGAACAATATTTACTTTGGTTTAGTTATAATTTTGTGCCAAAACCAACCCAAAATTTCACCATGACAACCAAAACCAACCCAAATTTCAGACTTACTATTTTTTTTCTTGTGAACAGCTCTGGTGACTACTTTCAATCTTGAGATTGGAATAACTGGTGCCATCTTGACAAAGCTGGATGGTGATTCAAGAGGTGGAGCAGCTTTGAGTGTCAAAGAGGTTTGCTTGTCTTTATCTTAGCTCCTGAAATTTTTATATTTTATATTTTAATTTCAGTCTTTTATGCATTGCTGCTATCTTGCATTTGTTCTCGTCCTAACCAATTGTTACCCTCTATACCAGAATTTTCAACATTACAGGCTCTTGAAAGTTAGTTCCTTTAATTTTAAAAATATCATTAATAGGTGCATGAGGACCAAAAAATCTTATCTTCCTTCTTGTTCTTGTATTTTGCTTTGGTACTTTGTGTTATATAGACCTCAATGAGCCTCTTGCCTGTTACTCCCTCTGTCCTAAATTACAAGTAACTCTGCCAAAAATATTTGTCCCAACTCCCAAATTATAAGTCACTTTACAATTATAATACAACATTAATGATTTTTTTTCCTAATATACCCTCTACTGTTTATTACTTTTCCTTCTTTCAATTCTTTTAATTTCTCTTCCCTATGTAATTAATGAAGGGCAAATTTGTAAAATCATACATAATTTATCTTTCCCATACAAAATTAATTGCACTTCTTAATTCGTGGGGTCTAATAATTTGGGACGGAGGTAGTAATAGTTAGTAAAAGAAGTAGGAGTCAGCTCCATAAACAAGAATTACAAAGGAATTCCATTTGAAGACAAATTGGTGAGTGATTCATAATTTGTTTGGAGATGTGAGACCCTCTCGAATCAGCCTAGAGTTGTAAACAGAGGAGCTCTCTATTAAGATTTCTTTCTTCCTTCAATCTTTCCTTTCAATGTCGGTTGGTTCCTGTCATTATGCTGGCACAAAGCTAGAAATCATAAGAACCAGTTTGTCAGCTTAGCCTACACTGACTTTGATGTTTTATCTTCAAAATGACATAAAAAGTTTTATAATAATTTTTGTGGAGTGTGGATCTAGTCAAATGTTCCCAAACAACTTAGCTGACTGACAATTGAATGTTAATAAATTTTTTTAGAGGAAATGGATTGTGTAAGCTGCATTTCGCCTCTAATAAGTGATTGTAGGTGTCTAAGGAAATGTTATTTACAAATCTTCTAAGAGATAAACTCGGTAACCCCTATAGATTTTTCCCAATAACTGCTGTTTCATTGGAGGATTTGCAACTGAAATGTATTTTTTCATAAATTTATTAGAATCATGTTGAATTAGAAATATATTTTGAAGACATGTTTCAGAGTCAAAATATACTGATGCTGCTTTTAGTTTATGAATATATAGATTTTGGCCCTCAGATATGAGAGGTCTTCCAGTATTTTTGTTAATTTTTAAGTGACAGTTTTGCCTAGGTTTCTAAACCGTATTTGAATCTGTAATGTGATTGATCTAGTCCAACATTTGAAGCTCTCTCCTTTCTCTTGTATGTTTTATTTAATTGGGTAATTCCATGATGACAGGTATCTGGAAAACCAATTAAGCTGGTAGGACGTGGAGAACGCATGGAAGATCTTGAACCTTTTTACCCCGACCGAATGGCAGGACGTATACTAGGAATGGGAGATGTTCTTTCATTTGTGGAAAAGGCACAAGAAGTTGTAAGTCTTACTATATTTCTATACTGTCATTGATAAAAAATGAAAAATAGAGTATTCAGTTATGAACTGCATTTATTATAGATGCTTCAAGAAGATGCTGAAGAGATGCAAAAGAAGATCATGAGTGCAAAGTTTGACTTTAATGATCTTCTAAAGCAAACTCGTTCTATTGCTCAAATGGGTTCTGTGTCTCGAGTCATTGGGATGATTCCTGGTATGACAAAGGTATGAACCAGCATATGAACTATCCTAGATATTTCTATTTTTATTTATAACAATTTCATGCATCTGGTCCTTTATAGCAATTGGGAACAAAGTAGTCAATTATATACAATTTACCAATTTTGGTCTATGAACCTTAAAATTGAGGATTATTGCATTTACAGATTTTTCCTAGATTTCCAGTTCTGGTTACATATTTATGAACATTTATCATCTCGTCTGCATGCTTGCAGGTTACTCCTGCTCAAATTCGAGAAGCAGAGAAGAATTTGCAGTTTATGGAAGTGATAATAGAAGCAATGTCACCAGGTCCTTTTTTTTATACTAATAAATGCATTCATATCTGGGAAACAAAAATGACTATCATATTTATATTTATGTATCTTTGTTTCTTAACATGGGAGTATGTCTTGAGTAAATAAAAAATGTCATAATCTGGTTCAATTTTCAATCATTCATAATTTTTCTGTAAACTAATTTTGCTTACCAGCCTTGTTTATTTCCAGAGGAAAGGGAAAAGCCAGAACTGTTAGCACAATCCTCTGCCAGGAGGAAAAGAGTTGCTCAGGAATCAAGGAAGTCAGAGCAGCAGGTAAGCGGAATGATTTTTCTTTCAAGTTTTTCTTGTTTTGCCTTAGCGACTTTTGAAGCTGCGGTTTTTGTACTGGTCATATACATTCTAACTTTGAGAAATGCACAACTACAATGTCAGGTAAGCCAACTCGTAGCTCAACTATTTCAAATGCGTGTTCAGATGAAGAAGCTAATGGGTGTAATGGAAGGTGGATCAATGCCAACACTTAGTAATCTTGAGGAAGCACTTAAAACAGAGGAAAAGGTGATTCGATACTTATACTAGTTTTAACATTCTACATGGTTTTAGCCACAAAATATCCTAGTGAAGTAATGAAATAATTTGCAATCTGAATCTTTTAAAAAATGGATGAGAAAGAGAAGAAATAAAGAACAAAATGCAAAGTCGTTACTGGTGAATCTTGTGCTTGTGTTTATGCATGCTGCTATGGATCAAATATTTGATGTGTTTTGCTTTCTGTATTCTGCACAAATTAGGTTCCACCCGGCACTGCTAGGAGGAGAAAGAAAGCAGATTCAAGAAAGCTATTTGCAAAGTCAACTTTGAGGCCAGCTCCTCCCGGATTTGGGAGCAAAAACTGAATTTTCTAAAGATGATTGACACTCAATAAATATGATGGGAGAGTTTGGAATTTGGAAGTACAAGTCGCAAGCAATCAGCTGGTTTGATTCAGCTTTCTTAAGCTAAAATGATTGCCTTCCATTATTAGATCAATTCATATAGTAATGAGTGTTGTTTCGCTGGTGAAATTTAGGCAGAAATGGAACGTAACCGCGAGATGTGCAAATATAAGAAGTATTTGATTTTCTAACTTGCAAGATTGACTTTGTCATCTCATTTGAATTTTTGAAGTGCATAGAATGGATGGCCAAAATCAAATGCATGTAATTCGAAAAAGGATGGTTTAAGAATCTTCAATGGCGATTTCCCGCAATCTAGACCAGAACATGGTCCTTGCACTCTGTTTTTCTTTATGAACAAATTTCAGTCCTGTGTATTATCTGGGTATTTGAATGAATAGATGGCAATGTTTAGTGTTGTCAGACATTCTTTTCAACACTTACTGGGTGAGTTTTATGTAAATTTTCTTATGAAAAAATTGGACCTCTTTTTAGTTTAGCATACTATACGTAAAAAAAAAAAAAACAATTGTGGATAGGTTACAAATTTGTCAAAAGAAAAGGGGTAAGAGGTCAAAAAATGCAATGAAATGATGGATGCTAAAATGTCAAAAATGGGTCAGGATAAATAGGTAATTTTTTTTCTCTCTTTTAACAGTTACAATCTAAAAAGAGTTTCTGACATTTTACATTAAAATAACTTGTCTATTTGTGTGAGATTCATTTATTTCCTTTCTATCTTTCTTTTTCATTTAAATATGATATTTCAAATCTAAAAATCATAGAATTAAACTATCTAATTTTTCGTTTTTACATGAGAAATTCATAGAGTTTAAGTCTTACTAATTGTAAGTGTAAAATGATTTACATGGTGAATAAGTTTCGCATCGACACATTACTTATTGGTCAAACGCAATTGTCAAATAGAAAAATAACAATTATTTTTTCATAAAAAAGGTCATTTAAAAAAGTTATTTGTTAAAACTGAAAATTTTGAGTAATATTTAAATTTTTTTTATCAAAATAACTCGGTGTTTAAAAAAAAAAATCAAAATATCCTACATTTCAAATTATTTTTCAAAATACTCTACTTTAAGATACTGATTGCATGGTGGCACCATGTGGATTGGCGACCCATCACAAGGGTATGAGTGGTGTCGCCAATTGGATTGGAGACATCGCATGGTGTCTCCAATTCAATTGACGATTGAGTCTAATACTTACATGGTGTCGTCAATTGAGATGGAGACAACCTTAAAAGTGAATTTTTTTCTATAAATATTCACAACTTATCTCATATCTTTGTTCCACTGATAACATGTATCGTTGTCGGTGGGGAAAAATCATTTATTCGAGAGAGGAACATTCAAAGTTTCAATCAACTTAAGAGGAAGCTGAATCGGTGGTTAGAAAGAGACATTGGTGAAGGGGAAATTTTTGAAGTATCGAGAGACTTGATCGCCTGCGTGGATGAGTTCACGCTAAGACTGACAAGGATGCGAGGGAAGCCATGTTTGGACCGAATGACATTAGTTTGATTGTTGTAATAAGTTAAAAATATTTTATGTTTCTTTTCCCTTATCTGTTTTATGTGTCGTATGTGTTGTATGTTGTTAGTTCACGGTATGTGTTGTTTGTTGTTAACATTGTTGTAACAAAAACTCATTAATATATGAAAATATTAGGTTATAGCAATTGAAAGGATAAGCAAAATAATGATGCAGATGTTGCTCCGACATTGAAACAATTTTTTCGGTTGTGTCCGGGCTGAGGACATATATTGCATAATCTTATCATTTTATCAGTTGTATCTATTTCGGTTCTTATACGCTTGTTGTTTTAGCGTCCTTTTTTCTTTCTTCGCATCTCATCGTTGTGCCAAACTATGTCCCCTTGGTATGAAGGTCAATATTCCTCCATTGGTAGCACTGTGAAGCCTTCGTTGTAAACATTCATAACATTAATCGCCTTGTAAACATAAGATAGATAGCTATAAGCATCTTGACGAGCATGTGCACATGCCGCAATGACATGTGAGCAAGGTACACGGAAGACCTGGTACTTGTCACAGTCACACCAACATTTGTTTAGTCTGACAGCATAGGATAAATTGGACCTCCCCTCATTATGATTCATTGTTTCTTGTACACTGAAAGTTTGCCTATGAAGGTCAAAGACTGTAAATGCATGTGTGTTGGCTTTGATAATATCCTCTTTCATCACTTTCATTATGCTTTCACTGAATACTTGACCTGACATTAACACTGCATTCCATCTTTCGCCTCTTGTTGCAAAAAAGTGATGTCAACCTATAATAGGTTGATCTCACTAAAGCGGTGATTGAGAGGTTTATAATTCCTTTGAAAACCTTGTTCATGGATTCCACAAGATTTGTCGTCATGTGTCCCCAACGACATCCACCATCAAAAGCCCTTGTCCATTTTTTTAGTGGAATGTTATCCAACCACCTTCTTGCATCTGCGTTTGACATCTTAATTTCGTTAAGGTAGTATTGAAATGATGGTTGAGTTAGAGCACACCTGGTATTCACAACTTTTTTGCGAAGGTTCTTGTCTTTGATTGCACGCATGAAGTTTTGTGCAATATGTCTAATGAAATATACATGGGTAGAAGAAGGATTATGCCACCCGTTATCATGGTTATTGTAAGCACTCTCTATAGCAGCATGCATGTCTGAAATCAAATAGAGATATGCTTGTGGAGCGACATGTGTTCTGAGATTCTTAAGGAAGTAACTCCAAGTAGAAGCAGTCTCACCACCAACCAAAGCAAAGGCTATGGGAAAGACATTATTGTTGTCGTCTTGTGCAGCACCCATAAGCAAGGTGCCCTTGTATTTTCCGTAGAGTCATGTTCCATCAATTTGAATAACAGATTTGCAGAATGCAAAACTTTTTATGCATGGTTGAAACGATCAAAAGAGACGGCGAAATATGACATTTCCATCAACAATAGTTCCATATGGCCTACATGTCGGCACTGTCTACATGATTGCAACAGTTCCCGATGTGTATGTCTTAAGTGCTACCAAAAATCACGGTAATTATTTGTACGAATCCTCCCAGTTGTCAAATACCTGTTCAATAGCCTTTGTCCTTGAAATCTACACCTTCTTGTACGAGGGAGTAGAATTATACCGCGTAACGATATGAGAGATTATTATACTCACCTTCACTGATGGATCCTTGTTAACAAGCGGCAAAATGTCTTGACATATCAATTATGCGCTTAGCTTTCGGTGATCCTGAACTATATTTGTGACAGTGCAACTGTGAGGTGGCTCTATGGAAGCTATCTTCCAATAATTGCTTCTTTATCTATAAGACACAGCAAGTCGAAACTTGCAAAGTAGATTACAACAAATAATGACATACCTTATCAGATCAGTTCGGTGTACATTGAAATCAACAGAGTTAACCATGTGATATTTTTTAATGGCTCGTATACAATCTTCCTTGGTACGAAACTTGTCTCCCACTTTTAAATCATTCTCTGACCGCATATACGGGTTGTAAAACATATATGCGGATCTCTCATTGTCTTGCAAGTCCAAGTCTGTGATATGTTGAGGCGGACAATATACATGACATGGAGGTATTAGTACTTGTTCGTCATCTTCAACGTTGTTGTTCAACAGTTGATCGAGCAGTGTCTCGCTTCCTTCTTCTTCATCAATGAGGTTGACCTTTAGTTCAGTTTCATCTGAGTATTCTGTTTTTGTTTCATCTGAGTCTACCCCTATGGATTGATCGATGATTTGTGACTGTTGAGATGGAATATTTTGTTGGAGGAATGTATACAACTCAGTATAGTTGAAACCAGAATGTCTGTGACTAACAAACATATTTTCAGCATCTTCATCATCTCGCACTTTAAGTGGATAAAATTTAAGGTAGTTGGTTTAAAAAAAACTGTGTTTTGATATATTATTTGTGATATAGAACCAACCTTAATTTCGATTCCAATCTATCTTTGAAATGCAAGAAAATTGTGTTTTTACTGATTGTGAATCAGACGACATCGATGTTTTGAAAATCAAACTCAGTGTCATCGGAGACATATGTCTCTCTGTTGTAGTGGGTGTTAACAATGTATCTCGGTGCAAATGACATTAGAGAATTTTTGTTAGAGACTTACTATTTTTGGTTGCTTCAGCTGAAAATGCATGGGCTGGTTAAATATGCACGGGCACATTTAATGAGGTCGCCAGATGAACTGGCGACAAGGTACAAATTTAGAAAGGGGTCGCCAATTCACATGGAGACAATGTGCAGTCTTAGCACACAATGTCACCATGTGGGTGTCATCCTGTTATACATGCATGGGACATCTTCAGGCTACGTGCACAACTAGTTTCAGATTCTCAGAAGTCTCCAAATGGACTGGAAACACTTTGGAAGACGTGAACATAGTCGCCAATTCATGTGGCAACACCATGCATCATGGATTGTTCACATGTGACTCTTATAATGCTATATAAGGAAGCTAGAGATATGGAATGATACATCATCTAAAACATTGTTGCAAAGAAATAATAACATATACATTTTATCAAGTCTAGAGTGTCACTAGTATCAAAAATATTTAATCAATTATAATGTCTCTATTGACAATGGGTGAAACACATAAAGGCACAGTCACAAATATCAAAAATTATGTAAGTGTTATTTTCTTTATTGACAATGTGTTATTTTCTTTAATGTCTCTGCTAGTTTTTTTTTCTTCTAAATTGACAATGTCTTATTTTTTTAATGTCTCTGTTATTTTCTTTTATGTAAGTGTTAATTTTTAATGTCTTTGTTAATATTTTTTTCTAAATTGACAATTATGTAAGATGTCTCTAAGTTTCGTCCTAGTGCCCATGAATACGTTGCTCCGACAAATTAACTCAACCATATATTGAGCTCGGCGGTTTCATACATGTAAGCAAAATCATGTCT